CTTAGTTGACTGTGCTGCAAGTGGGATTTATGATAGAAAATTATGGCTTTCTAAATATGTTGGAAATGATGGGCATTGTATCTAACCAGGCTCAAAGTGCACTAAAAAGTGTGCATTTATTTCCTTTCTGTTTCTGATTGTAGAATATTATTTCATTGTATTAAGACTTAAATTATGTTTGTATTCATTATTTTTTTGTTGCTCAAATACATTGACATAATGAAGTGGCCTCAAATGAATCTATAAATAAAACAAATAAAACTTGAATTTCTTGTTATTAATTTGGTATGTTGTGTAAATTATTCCAGGCAATTCGGTAAAGGTAAAGGTTCCCATTGACATTTAGTCCAGTCGTGTCCGAGCTAGCGTTTGTCCGAAGACAGTTTCCATGGCCAGCGTGACTAGACATGGAACGCTGTTTACCTTCCCACCGAAGTGGTACCTGTTTATCTACTCGCATTGAACTGCTAGCTTGACAGGAGCTGGGACAAGCGATGGGAGATCACTCCATCGCATGGATTCAATCTTATGACTGTTGGTCTTCTGACCTTGCAGCACAGAGGCTTCTGCAGTTTAACCCGCAGCGCCACCACAGGATATAATATAAGCTGAAATCAAGTCAGAAGCCACAGCTAGAATCGGTCTGTACTTCTTTTGAGATACTTCTTCGAGCATGAAATCCACAGTCAGAGACAATTCAGTTTTTACTTCAACCTTTTTGTTTATCATAACTGGCAACTTTTCAACAACAACTTCGTAGGGTTCCAGCTGCCCACACTCTTCAAACATTTGTAACATTTGTGCAACTATCCCTTTGGACTCTTCCTCAGGTCTCTCCTAGGGATGGATACACAGTCAACCCTCGATTTATGAACGGCCCTAGTTATGAACATTTCGATTTACGAACCGCTCTGATAGAAAAAAATGTACTCGGCTTGCAAACTTGGATTCGAGTTACAAATGGAAAAAAGTGCGGGGAAGGCAGGGAAAACGGAAAATTTGAACTTTCAGTTAACATAGAGGCTGCTTGTCTGCTTCCTCGCTTGTCCAAGCGGTTAGAATGTGGGTACTGAGACTGGGAATGTCTGGCATTGTCATTTTTAAATGTAAAATTTAGTTTAAAAGGTGCTTTGTTTGAGCTAAACGGTGCTTGGGTAAAAGGGAGGTGGGTTTGAGTTAAAACCTGCTTGGGTAAAAACGTGCTTGGTTGCTTCAAAGCTGCTTGTTTTGATTTAAAAGGTGCTTGGTTGAAAAGGTGCCTGTTTTGGTGTAAAAGGTACTTGATTTAAAAAGTGTTCTTTTTAAACAGTGTTCGTTCGTTCCCTCTGTGGTTTCCTGCCTTTTTTTTTTAACCTACACTATCTTAGGTTAAAAAAAGAAAGAAAAAAATTCTGCCCCTAGTGGTAGGAACAGATTAACCAGCTTTGCATTAGTTCCTATGGGAACTAATGCTTCGATTTACAAACCACCCCTCGACCTATGAGCCAAAAACAGCCAGAACGGATTAATTGGTTTTCAGTGCATTCCTACAGGAAATACTGATTCGAGCTATGAACTTTTTGACTTAACGAATGTCCTTCTGGAATGGATTAAGTTCATAAGTGGAGGGTTGACTGCATTCCCCATGCTTGTCTCAGTCAGTAATCAGGGTTGGTGAGTGATGCAACCTTGAACATTAACTGCTGCAGCACAGGTCTAATTTTCCCAACCCCTTTCTCTTTGGGCTTGCCTGGATCCTCATCCTTTGCTCCCCCTTGGGGTGGCTATCCCTGCTGGGTCTCTCTTCCTGACAGCTTTATCCCTCTTTCTCACTCTAACCTTATCCTTTCTCACCTTTCCCACTCTCCCCAATAGGAGGGTTTTCTTGGGTCTTAATATCTTCTCTGCCACTTTGCCTCTTCCTTGGGTATCTTTAACATCACCCACTCCTCAGACCAGGACTCTTCTTTAACTATTCATTTCCACCTTTCAGCCAACTTGAGTTGAGAAGTTTCCTTCTTCGACACACTATCTGCCTTTATTCTCCAGGACTCTCTCTTTCTCCCTTCTCTTCCTTTTCTATCTCTTCCTTCTTGTTACTGCCTTTCTCTTTTTCCTCAACCCTTTTAATCTCCTTTCCTCTAGAGACCTTCTCGTCTGATGGTTATTCCTTGTGTATCCTGCCATTTTCCTGGGCTTTCTCTTGCTTCCAGACTGTCTGCTCTAGGTGGAGATTCTATTCCCATTTCCGTCATCATGACCTCTCTAGGGGAACTGGTGGTCTTGTACCCTTTCACATATGAGGAAAGAGAGAATGGCATGCCCACCAGGAGGACTGTTCCCCCTGGCACCCTTCTCACAATTCCTCATTGTACATCTTAATGGTGTTAAATCTATACTTTAAAGTTTCGTCTGGCGGGCTTAGAATATATAATTGCTGACATCTTTTGTTTACTTTGCCATAGATCTGAAAAAGGAGAGAAACAAGCAACAGTACTTAGGAAGAGGATGAAGTATCTCCCAATTAGAAAAGGCTAACATGTTTGGAACTCTTCTACTAAAGGAACATAATAGATGAATATAAAGTTGTGGACAGTATGGAGAATTATAAAGAATTCATTGTCGCTTATACTATACCAGGGCTTGGGGACAACTAAACTAATTGCTGTTAGTACTGTACACTTAGAATGGATAAATCAAAGCCATTGTATGTGCGGTCTTTGGGAAGATACAAGCAACAAGAAGAAACTTATTGAAAGTTCAAATGAAGTTTGTTGGCTTCAGCTAATTAACTCAGTTCAAATATAAATTGTCTGCTTTATGTGGTTCACTCAGTTAAGTTTCAGAAATTGTGTTGGAAAAAGGGAATAAAATAAAGGAAAGTCTATTTTTTATGACTGCAAAACCAGCTGCATTTTGAAATGTGGAATTCAAGCATCTGGGAATATTTTGATGCCTGTCCTAGGTATCTAAAGAAGCAATAAAAGAGACACATGCAAAAATATTTTAGATTGTGTTTTGTTTTTGTTTGCATCCCTTTGTTCTTTTTATCACATGATGTGAATTGCAACAGTCTGTTTAAGACACAGCTTTCTTTGCCAAACTAGAGTGCTTCAGCTCTTTACTTTCTAATTTATTTCTAAAATGTTTTCATTGATTGACATTTATGGACATTACTTCTGGCTTAACGGTTGTCTAAATTTCATTTCGTCCCCTGTGCTTTGAAAAAGCATTAGACATTTTAAAGAGTGAAGAATGAAACAGCACTAATTGTAAATGTTAACTGGGCAATTATTCCAAACTGCAGTGAATATTTTAACACCTTAGTAATGTGGCTAGATGGATTATATTATTGTTTGAAGAAAGGAAGGGGCATGAAATACTGAATTCTATTAATGAGGTTATGTACAAAGGTTTCTCTTACAGTAGCAAAGGACAGTATAATTAAGTCAACGGTAATTCTGGGTTTGACTGAATATCAGATAACAGCTTGGAGAGAAAGTGCCATCTTAAGTTTGGCAGAGAAAATAGTGTTGTCCGTTAATGTTGACTATATGCAGCTGACTAAATACACTTGACAGATGCTAATTTCCTTAAGTTGTAAGCAGCAAATGATGCATGAATTAAACAGCATCATACTTTTTAAAAATGCCTGCTGGTATTTCTCTACAACTGGATTTAAATAAAGTTTCTCAATGTAACCGCAGGATACAATAATGGAAATGCTTTAAAATTAATTCTCTTTTTATTTTCCTATTAATGCTAATTGAGATGATTGTATTAATTCTATACACTGTAATTTGAGAACAAACTAAAATTTACATAATTCATATTTTTCCCCTGGCTGGGAGAATAATAATCTGAAGATATACACTAATAAAATGTTTCTCCTTAGGGTTCTTGTTCCAGGTGGTTAGACTGTGAGGAGATTAGTGCTCCTACCCATGAAGTTCCATTTTATTTTATAGTTTTAGGAGAAATACATTGTCTTATGTAGATTTCTTCTAATTTTCTTCTTGCCTTATTAAATATATAGCAACATTTATTCACTTTAAAGTATTCTTAATTTTGTTAACATTTGGTTAGTCATCTACCTAGACAATCAGTTCTTTTATTATTTCATTAAATTTAAACTACATTTAAGTTAATATGTGAGTGAAACCTTTAATTTACCTTTTGTTTTTGAAATGACTGAGATGTCTTTAGGCTAGATAGGGCTGGATTCTTTGTTATCAAAAGAATAGATTTTTAAAAAGTAATTTTCTTGTTCTCCATTGAACAAAAAAAGTTCCTCTTAAAGTTCAGCTTCCCATAATGCATTTCTGTTAGCAGAACAGTTCTGTCTTATGTGGTATTCTGACTTGGGATTCTTATATTTTTTTTTCTAAGTTATGCACGTGCATGCAAAAATATCAAGGCAGTCTACCAGGTTTATTTATAAACTGCTATCTTATGTTTGCTTTATGTTTATCTTATGTATATATCACATGTGAGACGAGAGAGTCAAACAAGACTTACTTCAGAAACCTTCAGTTTGCAATGTGAAGAATTACAAAGAAAGGAATACTATGAAGAGCAAGTCCATTCAGATGTGTTGTGAATTATGTTTTTTGCCCAAATCATGTATCCTGTACAAGAACACATTAGGAAAACAGTGTTAAATCATAAATAAATCAAACACCTTTGATAGTCAGTTTCTTAATTATTAGGGTGGGATGAATCAATCCTTCACAAAAGTATATGAAATTTACCTTGCTTTCTGTATATTTGTGCATCATTAGACTGTTTTAAGTGGATGATTTATATCATTATTCATACGGTTTGCAAGTAGAAATTATTACTTGGAGTGCATTAACTCCAAGGCCTGATTAATGGTTCAAAAGTGATTGTGCATTATATTCTGCTAAGGCATTTCAGAAGTACCCAATGTAAAACTGAAAGATTAATCTTTGGTTTCACATGTTGCGTAGACTGTACAGGAGGACATATCTTCATTAATATTTTCCCCAAACTTTTGGCAGGCAGATATTTGTTGCCAAATACTGTTACACAGCAGTCATGGCAAAGTGGAGAAACTACCAATCTTGTCCGAATGCGCAGTCAAGCTCTTGGACAGTCAGCACCTTCTTTAACAGCTAGCTTGGTGAGTTCTATTTTTCAAATATTTATTTATTCCCAAAGTTCCTTAATGTTAATAAAATGTTGTGACTAGCCATTTATTTTCACAAGAGTCAAATAATACAAAATTGTTTTCAAAAAATACAGCATTTCAAGACTTTTCACATAACTGTTGTCAGGTACTGTGTGTAATGGTACTATTGAAGATGTTTGTTGTATCTGAATTACATTTGCTGGGGGAGCTATAATTTTAAATTGCTTTACTTGTTTCCTATAAAATCATTGCTAGTATATATTGTAGTCTTGCATCCCCTCATTTAAGTAGCCAGTTCAAGAAAAAGAGAAAGCCAATTTTTACTTTCAAGTGCTTTGCCTTTTTTTGTAGGTACAGTATTCTGTTATTCTGATTTACTGGAGTAAACTTGTTTGCTGAAGGAATGTCTTTTTTGTTTATATTTTCTTGTTTTGGAATTCAGCATGTTAATAGACAAGCACAATATGGTAGTATATTGGAGGCGTACTGGCTTTCTTAATTATTTGCCAATTCATTTGCAAAGTAGCAGTTTCTCCCATAACTCTCACATGCTACTGCTATACATGCAAAATATACTTTCTCACATACATTCGTCAGATGCACCCCGCACCTGATCCATGCAGATCAACTATGGGGCAAGTTCATTCTTATCATCACTGCACTGGATTGAGAGACATATACTAGGTCAAGATTGGGATAACACCAGGGCAGGATCTGCCTTAATCTAAGATGAACTACAGGGAGATTTGTTTTTACTCCCTTACTAGTATGCAACCAAAAATGACAGTTGAGACTTCTCTGCACCTTAAGAGAAGTCCAATTCTTTATAGCCAGTAGTATACTTTGATGAGGATGAAGTCTAAGAACTTTTTTAAAAAAATGACTTTGTACTTCCACAAACCTTGGGGTCCCTCCGAGTTTGCTGATACCTCCCATCCTCCCTGTCAACTTCTGTGCTCATCCAAGACTGCATATGGCAGTGTTTTTGTTGTATATGAGTGCCATGATCAATGACACATCATGTTGTTGTTTAATCGTTAAGTCGTGTCCAACTCTTTGTGGCCCCATGGACCAGAGCACTCAAGGTTCTCCTGTCTTCCACTGCCTCCTGGAGTTCGATCAAATTCATGTTGGTAGCTTCAATGACACTCTCCAACCATCTCATCCTCTGTCGTCCCCTTCTCCTCCTGCCTTCACACTTTCCTAACGTCAGCGTTTTTTCCAGGGAGTCTTCGCTTCTCATGAGATGGCCAAAGTATTGGAGCCTCAGCTTCAGGATCTGTCCTTCCAGTGAGCACTCAGGGTTGGTTTCCTTCAGAATAGATAAGGTTGTTCTCCTTGCAGTCCAGGGGACTCTCAAGAGTCTCCTCCAGCACCACAATTCAAAAACATCAATTCTTTGGAGGTCAGCTTTCTTTATGGTCCAGATCTCACTTCCGTACATCACAACATACGTATCTATATATCTGCATATATCAATATACACATTAAAGTGACTGGCAAACAGTAGTATTACATTGCAGGACCTACATATGTGATCCCAACTGCTCTGTGTCTTTCTCAGAGAGACTACCACTAGTACTGTGACTGATAGGATCTACTATATTAAACAAAACAACACATGTAGGTCCTGGAATGTATTACTTCTGTTTGCTAGGATATTGTCTGTTCAGCAGATTTTTCGTAAGTTCATGTATTTTTAAAATAATTTTCTTCAGGGTTACAAATGTGTTTGATTCTAAGAGCCAGCTATACACAACATTCTTTCTTGCATGTTTGGGGTGGAAGTAATGATACAGATACAGATCTAGTTATATTATGATCTGTCAAATACTTGACCAAGTGGTATCTGACCACCATCGCTTTCTTCTCCTCCTCCTCCTCCTCCTCTTGTTGGACATGTGAGTGGATGGTCTGGCCCCAGTGGCTGGACCCTTGTTAACTCCAGCTGCGTGGGGATATTTGTATTTGTATATGAATACGAATACCCCCATCTCTAATCATTACGACTATATCAGGGGTCTCAAACTCAATTTACCTGGGGGCTGCTGGAGGCAGAGTCTGGGTGAGGCTGGGCCGCATCAGATTTTCTGCCACGTGGAGCAAGAGTTCGAGAAAGCTGTCCAGGAGTTTCCTTAGCCTGGCCAGGGCTCCAAGGAGGAGGAGGAGGAGGAGAATGAGGAGTGCGCGAGCCCTCATCACCGGCCACGACCCCCTCCACTCCATCTTCACTATCACCACCAGCAGCAGCAGGACGAAGAAGCGGAGAAGGGAGAGAGCGCTGGCGACCGCCTAGGCGGGTGGTGGGTGGGGGTGGAGGAGGGCACAACATAATTTTTTTTAAAAAACTCCCACAGAAGTCACCTTGCCAAGGGAGAAAAGCCCCCACTGGTACCCGTGAAATTAAACTGAATGGCCCCACACAGGTGCGTGTGCGCACACACAAACACACATACACATAAGGAGGTCCGGCAACCTTCCTCTGAGCCCCCCCCAAAAAGGTGCACTCAGCAGCAGCAGCTACCCCCCCATCATGACAGAGGAGCAAACTTTGCGAGGCGAGCCCAGGGAGCCTCTAGAGCCGAGGCGGCTGAAGCAGGACGAGGAGGAGGAGGAGGAAGCACTGTTGGGTGCTGAGGCGGCTGCTGGCGGGGGTGGTGCTGGGGGTGCCAAAAGAAAAAGAGAGCCAGAGAGCCGCTTCCCTGGAAGAGGTGGTGGTGGCGATGGCTGCAGCTGCTGTTGGTGGCTTGGAGGCGCTCTTTGAGGATGGGCCAGGAGCGAGCTCCGCTCTCAGGCATTGCTTGGCGGCAGCTCGGGTGGTGTCCC